GTTGATGGAAATACAAACCGAGGATGTGCATAAAGATATGGCAGAAAAAATAGATATGTACGACACGAGCGATTACCCAAAAGATAATCCCCTGCACAGCGTAGTAAATAAAAAGGTATTAGGTAAGATGAAGGATGAATGTGCTGGGACCCCTATTGCGGGGTATGTCGGATTAAGACCTAAGATGAATTCTATAAAGAAGTCCGATAATGCAGAGATAAGAAAAGCTAAGGGTGTTAAGGAGTATGTGGTAAAAAAGCATATCAAACACGAACTGTATAAAGAAGCATTATTCAATGGTAGAACATTCAAACATGAGATGAACGCTTTAAGAAGTGTCAATCACAGGATATATGGATTAAGAATGAACAAGACATCATTATCCCCCTTAGACACAAAGAGATGGATTGATAAGGATGGTGTTACTACTTACGCTAATGGTTATGGTGGTAATACTGTATCGTTGGGAACTATGAGCAACTCTTCTCGTACAAATGCCCTGCCCGGTCCATCTTTAAGATAATAAAGAATAGACTCTCCTTCTTTCATAACCAACCGACTAATGTTATATGTCTTAAGAGACCAAATCAGATTGGTTGCAGGACGTTGGCCTCCTTCGAGTTCACCAGGTTGGTATAAATATCTTACGCTAACTCTATCCAGCAGTTTTTTGTTCTTTGCCTCTCCTCGGTGCTGAAGATTCAGAAGTATCAGATTTCATTTCAATCGCATCGGATGGTTTCTTCCCGTTTAATCTCGTTACTTCATTATTCAGCGCTGATACAACAGCTGATAATCGTGTCATCCATTCGGTTGATCTTAATCGATCTGATTTCATTTCAATCCCATACTGATATCCAAACAAACGTTCCGCTAATGTCTGGTTAAATCTTTCAACGATAGCTTGACCTACGGTGGGCCTCTTTTTTACCACGCCTGATTTCGACATCTTGCTTTGTTAACAGTTTAGTTACTGATCCAATAAACTCGCGACCAGGATCTACTTGAAATAACTTAGGCCATTTTAGTGGTCCTCATTTATATATGCCGCTCAGTGCATTAGCTACTTCTGTTGAATCTTTTGATGTTAATAGTTCAACCTCCTTGTAGCGACCAGCCACATCCACTACGGTTAAAGCGTATTTATATGTTTTGCGTCTTACCTTATCATGGGGAAGAAACAAGAGGTCAGCCTGATGAACTTCATTCGTTATAAAAATATCAAACTTCTTCCTTGGAATATAATGCGGTGCCGGTAAGTATATTTGCCACATCGCTTGTTTCTTTAGCCAATCCTTGGCCACATCTTCAGATACCTTAGCCGCAGTGGCTAATCTTTGTATTGCTCCTATACCTTTCCAATATCCTTGTGGACTATAGTAAATTTTATCCATTATTAATTAATATTGATGATTCTTTTAATACGAATCATGACGATCTTTGAATCACATCATTATTTTCACATAAAAAATTCCCTCTGTAGTAGCAGTAAAGGTATATAAATCTGGCTCTCACCATCATTGTCTATACTACTAAGCCAGAAAAGCAGTTTTCTAGCATTTCCAACTGTACTTTATTGTAGTTCCTAGAATGAGACTGCATCACTGGTACTGAGGGATGCTCTATGAAATTGGTATTGGATCCAAAACATATGCTGCAAACATGCGAGACACGGCATGGTAAATAGGGACAACCACCCCTCGAGTTCCATTTGATACATATTGGTATGTTTGAGTGCGGGTCGATTTTGGCTGTATTGCGAGGTTGACTTAGTCTGAGTGTACGTCCTGGCTGGGGTATTGCACTGAGCTTTGGCTGCTCTCTTTTCACAAGCAAGAGCTGCATGACAGGAATTGTCCGCCCCCCCCAAGGGAATTGCGGTTCACACTGTTTCTGCCTGTATTCCCTATCTTACTGTTGTACACTCTGCCAGGTAAATGATTGACCCAGAGCTGCAATCTAAGCGTAAGAGGCGACTAATGGGATCAGGTGGTCGGGCTTGCTGACATTGTTGATGCATGGCATCGTATAGCAATTGTGTGGATCAATGCTCATGTAATCAATCACTGGATTGTCTGGTCCAGATTCTATTATTTACACAGAGCTTCAGATAAGCCGCGTATTTTTTTATTAAATAACCCCCCAAACTATTCAAAACCCAATTACTTTCATTAAACTTTTGTACAGAAACGCATGCATAAAATAAAAAAACTCAATTGTTTGAAAACAGCAGGCGTAAATACCCAATGAAGCTTTTTTAGCATGTGTACAACGGAGCTAATATCCGAAACACAATTAGGAGCTAATTTACTTTCGGAGTCAAGCATATATTTAGAACCTTTATATACATCTAAAACATTATTTGATTTTTTTAAATCTCAAAATGCTTACTCATCTTGGAAAAAAAACAATAGAGTGATGAAAAAAATATTAGTTACCCAATGAAAAATGTAAGAGCAGGTTTTCTGTCCGATTGGGCAAATGGCAGGCAATCATGGGGTGATGTCACTTGGAGAGCAAACTGGTTCGTCAGTTTCCGGTTTGTCAGTTTCCCACATTTCAGGAGTTAAATTCTTGACTGCCCTCTTAAGCAAAAGTGTTTGTGCCAAGGGTAAACAGTCAGAGAAGTGTCTATCAACCGTATCCTCAGTGATTAGTTGTGAAATGAAACTCAGTGTAGAAAACCCCATGGCGGAAAGTTCCCCTACTTTCAATCGACAACCTGTTTGCATCAACCAACTCAGTAAATTCATTTTCTTCAAATTCTGCTTGAGAACATATAGTTTTCTTCAGTTTTGCCTTTCCCATGGTGACGATGTTGCGTCCTCTGAAACTTATTCATATAGTCACTGATACTAAGTAATGAAACCCAATTTTTTAGGCAATGCTGGAAGGATGCGTGGCAACTGAAAAACTCACTAAGTCCCGCCTGTATGCGCATCCCGCCAAACAGGAAGTTAAGCTATGTTACTACATAACATTTGTCTTTGAGTGGGTGCAGAAACCGTTAAACATTTTTTCATGAAACTTTGCATGTCTGTCAGGTACATGCTGAACTGGTGCCTTTTGCTATTTAGAAATTTTAGAATTTTTTATTTTTTATGTTTCCATGGCAACAAGATGGACTTAGGTTCTGTGAGGGTAGGGTTCGTTTCCGGAGCATAACTCAGAAACCATTCAATATTTTTTCATGAATCTTGCAGGTCTGTCAGGTACATGCTGAACTGGTGCCTTTTGCTATTTAGATTACATTTCCATGGCAACAAGATGGACTTAGCTTCTGTGAGGGTAGGGTTCGTTTCCAGAGCATAACTCTTAAACCCTTCAATATTTTTTCATGAAACTTTGCAGGTCTGTCAGGTACATGCTGAACTGGTGCCTTTTGCTATTTAGAAGTTTTTATTTTTTACATTTCCATGGCAACAAGATGGACTTAGGTTCTGTGAGGGTAGGGTTCGTTTCCGGAGCATAACTCATAAACCGTTCAATATTTTTTCATGAAACTTTGCAGGTCTGTCAGATATATGCTCAACCAGTGCCTTTTACTAATTAGAAATTTTAGAAATTTATATTCTTTTTCATTTTTCCATGGCAACAAGTTGAACTTTTAGAAATTAATGAATTCTTCTTATAAATGCCAAAATATTCAACTTGATACCCATTTAACCTGTTTGAGGAATCTTATAAGTCATAATAAAGTTTTTTTGTGTGCCTACATTTTGTGTTTGAGGTATCTCCCATAGTAGGGGAAACTGTGCATGCCTTCTACCAAGTTGTCAGTATGTGCCTCAATAATGGTTGAGGGTAACTTTCGTTTAACGACTTCATTATCAAATCCATCATCCCTTACTTCTGCATTGATTATGACAGAGAAGAGTGTGCGATAAGATGGCATACTTCTCTATGAAACTTTTTACAGTTTTCAGCACACTTTTGTGCTGTCGAGTCTTAACATTCACATTTATAATATTGTCTAGTTTTATTTTTCACTTTATCATATCACATGGTATGACCACATTGTTAAAAAGCCACAACATAAAATGTGTGTGGCACTCGTGGCAGCCTACTTTCTCGTGGTGAGTGCCGGTAACATGACTTGTAATGTTTTTTCTTTCTCCCACCCTAATGAATTCAGTTGTAAATGTAGTGACTGGTTTTGTCAGTTTGTACTTCCATCATTTTTTTTTGTGGAGAAGGTTTCATTTTTTTCTTGAACTTCATAGAAATTGTGTTTTGCAGCATTTTATTTTGTTTCTTCAGGATATTTTGCATTTACATCAAGAAGATGCTCCCTTGCTGCCTTTTACACCTTACAAAATTTCGAATATTTTCAAATGTATGTGTTTGTGTGATCAAATTTCACTGTTGTTGACATAATATACACTTCATTTGCCGGGCAGGAGACTTGGCCTCGTTAGTGGCAAACTCTTCTTTTTTTTTACAATTTCCATGACAACAAGTTCCACCTCGGTTAAAAAAGGTTAGGGTTTGTTTAGATTTAATTATGTCATAAATTCTGCAACAGGGGCGGGGATATAGCCACGTTAGTGGCAAACTCTTGTCATTTTTGCCTGATCACTTGAATTTGTTGCATCAGTTTGGAAGCTACATTGATCTGTTTAAGGAGTTACAGATGCTGCAGACTGTTACCTTGCCATTCTCTGCTCTTCATGCAATATTTGGTGTGTAGGATCTTCAGCAGTATTTGTTTTAATAATAAACTGTATTCCTTGTAGATAGATAAGATCCAAGATTATTTTTATTTTGTCATAGAAAAGTACTATTAATTCATATTACTTGTTCTATTTGACTTCTGAATCTGGTTAGTAGATTGTGATGTTGCATGAACTGTAATCATCACAATTATACCCACCAATAACACCTCACACTCCCTCACCCTCAGTCCCAGCTAGAACATATATAATGTAAGTAGTGTACTTGTTTTCCTCCATCTTGTTTTGTGCTGACTCATGTGTTTCTGCTTTGTCCCCAATATGCAGCTGGAATAAGTAAGACATAACTGTGACTTATCTAGCTGTTGTACCTCTATGGACTTCATTGATGTCTGCATGTCTCAATATTGTCAAAAGCACACCTCACTCATCAGCACACTAAATGTCAGTTACTGATCAGATTTTTGCATCTCTATAAGCAGCACAACTGTTTCAGTTTATACATGTATATAACATCTCTATATGTCTAAATAAACAGTTGCCCCATAAAATGGTCTTCTTAGATAGTGTTTTTACCTCACCTAACTGAAAGTCATGTCAGCTTCTGTCGCAACCTGTTTGTCCTGCGTCTTTCCTCGACATCTTCTCCTCAGAACTACTGAACAGATATTGTTCACCTTCACATGCTTGTAGTGGGGTTCCCCACATATGTAACAGTTTCATTTCATTTCAAATTAATGCAAATGTTTCTTTTCAGTACAAACTTGAAGGTAAGGTCTTTGAGAACAAGTTAGGTCCGATTGTGTATAAGAAATTGGCCTTTTTGGGCTGTGGCACACGACCATGCCCCCTCACTAGCCTATGCTAAATATTCAAACTACTATAACTTTTGATTGTATGGCCAGAACTTTCAAAAAAGATATAGTTTGATTGGAAATCAGGAATAACAACTTATTTGTCAAGTTTATTAAGCATAGAAACAATAATTTTGCCAATATTGGCAAATATCCACAAAACAGAACAAGGATCATAGGTCCGATAAGCTGAAAGATTCCAACAAATGCACAGTATTAGAATTATTGAGATTTTCTGGCACATCTACCTCTTGCATTTGCATTTGCAGAGACATGTACATTTTAACTTTGCCCCCTTACATTGCAGAGAGAGCAGGTACTTGTGCAAGTGCTCTTCACATCTAGGTCTTCACATGTTATTGTGCCATGGATTATAGTAATAGTGTTCAGAGAGATCATTCATGTTATCTTTCCTGCTTTGAATCAGATCCAGATTTCTGCACCTAGAATGATAGCCTTGATGTTATGGAAATTACTCAGAAGAATTACATTTGTATCTCCAGTATGAACCATCCAAAAGTGAAGCTGTTTGGAGGGCACAGTGGAGATGTACTAGAACACGAGTGTCTGCTTCCCCAAGGTTGCATTAACCCATTGGTGAACTGTTTCTAACATGGTGGATTTGATCATTTGCAGTTCTTTTTGGACAGAAAAAAGAAGAGTTCCTTCTTGTTATCAGACGTCTGCCAATTTCCCGGGATTTTGGAAGTGCATGATGCATGCTGTGGGGTGCCTGTTCCACATCTTCCCCTTGTGCCTCCTTTGATTGTCAGTGCATGAAACTGGTCCCAGACTGTCTAATCTTGTCGATCATTTCAAGTCATGGCAAACTCTTGGGAGGAAAACCGTGTCAAAATTGGAATGAAAGGTCTTGTCTTGAGCAGTTGTTCCAGAAAGTGTGTGTATCAGTGCGCCGTCATAAAAAACTGGTGCAACTAGCTCTTCAACAGAAGCAGAGCCACTTGCATTTGTGTCTTCCATGATGTGCACCAATAAATCTGACTTGGTACAAGAGTTGAAGGACCCTTTGATTGACAGAGCAGGTGGGTATGGGGAAGGTATGTGGTGAAAAATCTCCTCCCAATCCCCCTCCACAGCTATTTAGCCAAAATAAAAGCTTGTCCATAGAGCTCTGCATGATGCTTGAAATGCTGCACTCTCAGCATCATTGTTGTCTAAATAATAGTTTTTGTCATGGAATAACATTAAGTTTCAGCTTGATCAGTGCTGTCAGAGGTGTTTGATTTCATTCACGAAAGTAGACTCGACTCCATGGAAAGACACAGCAGCAGCCACACACTCACATACCTTGTTGTCATTTGTTACCAGGTCTTCACTGTCCTCAAAAGGATTCCTCTTGCTCAATAATGCCTCTGTAAGGTCTTTGACATGGTGTTGAAATTGGTGCTGAGATGTAAATCCTTCCTCTTGATGAGGTAGCTCTTCACCATCATTATTATCGCTCACACCTGTGAATTCCTCAATGACAAGGCAGATTTCAGGGTTAGTCACAATTCAACATTCTAACATGGCAGTGTTCTCTTAGACACTAAACATGCCACCAACTCCTTTCAGACTTTTGTTGACTTGCTCGTGTGCTTGATCAGTTAGTAAGAACGAGAAACGGTGATTGCTTCGAGGTCTAAGATAAAAATTGGAAGCCACCTTGCATAATTCGGGGGATCCAGAGCTAAAAACAGTGGCACAAGTTTCCACAGGGAACTGACCATGAACTTTAACTTTCGTTACCTATGTGACCGGATGACCATGAGCATGAACATGTTCTGTTGGTACTTGGGTTTTCTTGAGAAGCTAGCATGACCCAACCCTCAAGGGTCATCTCGGATCCAATGTCCCCATAGGCTCACTTCAGAAAGCTGTTGAGTACTTCAACAGTGAATTTAGGGCCATATCTTGTTCTCATTGCATTGGATGCTTTCAGCTGTAGATGCTGCTTCAGTCTCCACTAGTCCCACTTCTTTCAGGATGCAAAAGATCGCCCATGGTGCTCCACAATGCCATTTCAATGTGAAGCTCACCTAGCATTACCACATACTTGTCCTCCCTGAAGATGTCAGGGAAGGGCCACAGCATTATTTTGGTCATTGTAGTTGGTCAACTCCCAACACAGGATTTTGGTTTGGGTTGAGGTGCTCTCTAGTTTTTCTCACAAGTTCCATCCAAAGTCCAATTATTTCTGGAATGGGGGGCACGGGTGGCCCAGTTGTCAAAGGGGCCACAATTCGCTGTGCAGAGTTGCGGCCCTTGGGTACGCCAGAAACCTATGATTGTGGGTTCGAATCCCGGTTCGCCCAAATTATGTTTCTATGTTTGTCAGCACCATACCCGTGCTCGTGGGTTTCACCGAAGTGGTAACGTCTGAGACCTGTATCACTTCGGGCTTTCCTCCCACATTAGCTGACACGCTGCGATATAACTGGAATACTGTTAAAAGCGGCATTAAACCCAACTCACTCATTTCTGGAGTGGCCATTTTTTCATGGAAAAGTGGCAGAAGAGCTTCAATGCTTTTATCTGGTTACCCAACAGCATCTGATCAAGCAGAATGGAATTGCTTTAGTGCAAACCATTCAATATATTTCTTTAAAACTACGTGTATCTAAAATACCTAATTGTTTCAATGTATCCAAGTGCACCAAATTCTATCCCATTTGCTTGTGTAATATACACAAAGAAAAAGGTAAAGCGTACCCCTATTTCTGAACCATGACAAATGGCAAAAATCATGGCATGGGATGACGGACCACAGGAGCTGGGCGATACCAATGTCATCGGATAGAACAAACATTTAATAACAAATAAAGAAGATATTGGTGAGTTGTGATTGAAATTTACTGACAAAAACTTCATGGTGATAAAGGTGCTGTTTTTGACCTTAGACAATACCTAAAAAAAGAATGGAGCTGCAGGATTAAGTAAACGAGTTATGTTTGATGTTTCATGTGAAAGTGTTCCTTAAAGTCTCTACTTGACATGACAAGTGAAACAGATCAGTAGCGGGTATAACCGCCACATGCCCGGATGACGCATTCCACCCTCCGTCTCATGTCTCCAGTCAGACGTTAGATTTGTTGATGGGTCAACAACAACCACTCCTGATGCAATGCTGCTTCCAATTGGCGTAAATCTTGTACAGGAGGATCTTGTGCCTGTATGCGCCGCCCCAGAATATCCCAAACATGTTCAAGGGGGTTCAAATCTGGGCTCATTGCTGACCAGGGCAGAGTCGTTATTGCATATGCCCTCATGTAATCCACGACTGCTTGCAAACGATGAGGCCTGGCATTGTCATCCATGTACTGGGGTCGAGTAGCAAGAGGGTGGTTGTCAAAATGAAGAACAATGACTGGCCTCAAAACATCCCGGATGTACTGAGCCCGTTAAGTTGCCCCTTATGGTGACCAAATCCAACCTGCAATCATGAGAAATACACCCCCAAACCATTACCGAGCCCCCGCCGTATGCAACAGTCGGTTTAATGTACCTGGGGTGTAGGCCGTGTTCCGGTGCCTCCAAACTCTCGGTCTTCCATCAGTGACATAGAGCAGAAAGCGACTTTTGTCTGACCAATGGACCCAGATTCCAGTTCTGTTGCACAATACACCATGCTAAACAAGCAACTTTGTGGTGATCTCTCAACACTGGACGCTTTATGACTCATCTAGCCCTCGGTCCTGCTGCTTTCAGCCGGTTCCTGACCGTTCTTGTGCTGAAACGATGATTGGGCAACCACAGCTGTTTCAGACGAGTACTTGTTAAAAAGGGTTCTCGGCATATGAGATGAAGAGGTCCCTGTCTTCGCAATGTGTCGTCACAGGAGATCTTCCGGATCTGGGATGGTCCTGTACATAACAGGTCTGAGCATGTTTCTCGACTATATGGCTTACGACAGTGTGATGATACCCCAAATTCCGACCAATCGCATTACAAGACATTCCTGCATTATGCATGCCGATTATTTGCAATCTTGTGGCGTTTGATAATCACCTTCGTGCCATGATCACACAATGTCATGGAATAACTGTTTAAAACCAAGCTTAAGAAAGCAAATTTAATGTTTGGATATACTGCTTTTAGAGATACTCGAGGGTAGCATGCTGCACGGGCATACCATGCATGGCACGTGAGCTTTCGTCATAATTCTTCTCGTAATTATATCTTTCATGACTGTTACAAATATTGGGACCGAACAATAATGAAATATATTAGGGTGTGCTTAACTTTTTCCTTTGTGTATATGTACAGCAAAGGTTTGGCATATCCCTTCTAATTGTAAGCCCCCTCCAGGCCCCAGTGGTGTCTAAAAAATGTCAGTTTACACTACCTTACATCATCGAATCTCATGTATGTACATGTATGTTGGTCACTGGCCTTGCTCAGTCTTATGTAATACCTCACTCTATCCCCAAAACCTGACTGACATGGTCAATCAGAGAGACGGACCCAGATCAGCAACAGAAG